CAATCTGATTATCAATGAACGTCAGTCCCGGCAATTTTTATTTTTTTGTAATTTGATAAAATTTATAAAAAAAACTTGATTTTCCAAAAAAAGTTATTAGCCCTTTTTACTTAAGTACCTAGTACCTACCTAAAAAAAAGTTAATAAATACAGTTAAAAGTTCCTTAAATTTTTTTGGTCATACATTTTAAAGCAATACATATACATAACTATGATAAAAATAATTATTATTTAACTCTCAGCAAATCTTAGTCCTAAAAATAATGTGACGGGATGAAATAAATTATTTGACTAATATTAAACTTCAAATATTAAAATTAATATTGACAAAAAAAAATTAATATACTAATTAAAGAGTAACATTTATAATCTATAAATTTAATATTTACTTTTTGTGGGCAACAGTAAAATACATGAATTATTTTAAATTGAAAGTTAATTGATTAATTAATTTTATCATGTGGCTATATATTTACATTTTAGATTTTAAATTTGCTAGACGTGTTGCTGTGTTGATAGAATTAATACAAATAAATACCTATTAGTATTGTTTATTATTTGTTATAGATATCTGTGTTAATCATTAGATATATTTAATTATTTATATTGTAGATGCATTTAGGTGGTGGGGGGGACAAAGTCCCCCACGGTTTTTTTTAGATTAATTTGCTTTGGAACGCTAATTGTTCAGCTACATTTAGAGTCCACCTTTATTTTTTTTTCCAATTCAACCACTGTCCGTAGGTTTTCACGAGTCATACATTAGTCGCGTTTGTCATGATCTAAGTGTGCGTAATTCCCATTCGATTTAATTTATTTATATTTAAAAGACCGAAAATCAGTGCAACTTCGTCTAGTAGGCTAAATAAATTTATTGCCGAATATAAAAATATTTTTTCTACAGATGGCTTAATCTTGTTAGATTAGTTTTTTGCTTATTTTTTATTTTATAGAGCACATTCCTACAAAATAAAAGTATAAATGCATATTTTATAGTACACATTTCTGAGGTTTTTAGAGTTTATAAGCTCGGGCCCTAGTCATAAAAGTATTTATTACCTTTAAAATGACTGTTAACTTATATAATTACTACTCATACGATTTACACCCACCCCGTGACCTCTAGAAAGACCTCATTCCTAAAAAAATACCTTCATGGAACCATAAACCTATCATAATAGGTTCGCTATTGAGAAAAATGGTATAGTTCATAGTTAAAATCAGTGGCGGATTTAAGGAGGGCCAGTGGTAGGGCTGTATTAGCGCATAGGCACTATAGGCACGGTGCGTATTGCCTAAGAATATTTTGGGTCCTACGAAAATAAAATGAGTGACTACGATTTTTTCCTAATATTTTATTTTTTGATATTTTAAGTTTATATACAATCTGTGAAAGTTAGTGCAACAAGTAAAGTGATATTATGCATATTTCTTGTACATTTATACTCAATGTTCATTATTGTAATTCGTAATTATTTATTGAAAGTAGATAGGATAAACCATGAACTGATAAAATATCGATCAAATACGTATATACGACGGCGTATGATAAATAAAACATTGGTTACTGCTTAGAATATTTTAGGAAATAATAGAAAAAATATTAGAAAAATAATATAGTTTATGCAATATAATATAAATGTAAATAATAGTTATCAACTACAAACACACACACACACACACACACGCAAAATTGAACGTGAAATTGAAAAAATGAATAAAAGCTTATTTAAGATTAGACGATTTCATTTTTTAACTGATGAGATTTTAAAAGACGAATAACTAAAAATAAAGGAAAATAATTTAGTTGAAGCCTATAAAACTGATTTAGAATCTGTATTTGTTAACGAGTTTATAATTTTTAAGAACTTTCGAGAAACTGTCTGAATGTCTGTCAATGAAATGCTAATGAAATAAATAAATATTAAAATGGTAAAAAGTTTTCTAATTGTAAACATTGCTTTCAGGATATATTTATGAATTTTTGGGACTTCGTGCGAAGGTGAAAGATCATTTTTAATTTTAAAGAGGGTTAAGTATTGACAGCGATCAATTATTGGACATGATAAATTATTTTCATTGAATATGAATTGCTCTAAGAAATCGATACTGAAAAAGTTATTAAATAATTTGCAAATAAAAAAATGTTGCACAAAAGTTTTTAGCCTTTAAGTTATAATTAAAAAATATACTACACAATATGTATTGTTTTTTTTTACCTTTGTTTTATTCTTAAATACGAGGGATAAAGAAATATGCAAAATGAAATAAAATAAGTTGTTTTTTATGCTTTCTAACTAATTAATTTTAAATATATTTGGAGTAAAATTAATTGTTTTTAAGATGCATTACAATTGTTATCAGATATCAAATTATAATTGTAAAAGTTATAATATAAAACTTTAGATTTGATTTTTATGTTGTAAACATTTTTGTTTTTATAGGCTTACCACTGAGATTTAACATTTCCTCTTCCAAACAGAAGATTTCTATAGAATAAATGTTAATAAAAAAAATATAATATAAATATGAATGGTTATACTGGTAAATACTGGATACCAGGACACTGCAGTGTCGTATTAGCACGTAAGCAATAAAGGATTGTGCCTTGGGCTTACGATAGTGTTAATTCGGGCCTGCAGTTCGGTTAGTTTTGTAATATAGGTAACGTAAAAATTATAAACAACACAATTCAACAAAATCATTTAGAGAACGAGTTCATAAAGTTTCTAGATTATCTTATCGCCAATATGAGTAATAAACCGATTGATTGATGAACGGTGTCAAATCATCTTATCTGTAATGTACAATTACGATTGAAGGCCTTCGCACACGCTAGAGTTTTATTGCCAGAACTCTAGTGACAGAGCTGACAGTTATAACCAGAGGCGTGTAAACACGCAACAGAGTTACTGCCAGAGTAGAATTTTGTGCTCTGGCGAACTCTAATGTCAGAGTACTTTATGTATCGTGTAAATGCTTTAAAATCTTATCTTGTTTATCTGGTTGCTATCGCTGTTAATCTAGTTGTCGGCTAACTATATTTATAACTCTAGAACATAGTTTCACACCTACATGATAACTGATACTTTGATATTACATAAACAGATAAATAAAAAGTTATTTAAAAACTAAAAATGTTACCAGATGCTATATAACGCAAAGTTATTGCTAAACGTTCCCCAGCAGAAATAGCATTTCTCATACATGTATTATGTTTTTGCAATAAATGGACCAACAATACTCAATAAATAATCAAAATCAGATTATAACATACATAAAAATATTTTGTACATTGCAGGTTCAGCATTTTTTAATTCTAAATTAAATTTTTCATAAAATCCACATTTTGGCCTTTTTAAAAAAAAATGTTTGTCCTCTCAGTTCGTTTATTTTTCCTTTTATTTTGTTCTTCCTCTTTTTGTTCTTAATCTAATAATAAATAAACAACAATTTCAGCTGCTGTTCTGGTTTGAGCAGTTATGGTATCTATTGTTCACGGACTATTTTTATTAAATATATACATTATATATATCATATTTTTTTAATATATAGAGAAAATTGTATAATCATTCAGTAGTCATTATCACTAGTTGTCTAGTACAACTCTAGACAGATAAGCGAAAAAATGTCAGGTGTAAACATGTTGCAGAGTTTAGGATAGAGTACATTACCAGAGTTCTCTGGCAACGTAATTGTCAGAGAAAAAAGTGACATATATTTATGTACGTGTAAAGTGTGTGGCAGATTTTAATCAGCTATACCATCAGAGTTCTGGCAAAAAACTCTACCGTGTGCAAAGGACTTTAGTCTTTAAGCTCGTGTATTTTATCCAATTACGTGTGTGTTTTATAAGTTTTCGAAAAACTTTCTCCCCGTCTAAAACAAAATCCCAAATCAAGCCAAATATTTACGGCGTGGTCTGTGCGTCGGGCTGAAAGCAGGAACGGCAAACCTTTAACGTGCGCGTATATATTTTCACTTCGCATTTCTACGGAGGAGAAACGATTATCGAATAAACAATTGTTCCCATGCCCGGATTAAGGGGGGCCAGAGGGGCCATGGCACCGGGGCCACAACAGATATCAAACAATAGTTGGCCCCTGGTGGAAAGTAGGTTATTTTCGTTTTTTAACTCTTTTTTTAGCTCGTATAAAAAACAAGAATAAAATAGTATATAGTTTTATGATTTTGTGTTCAGAGAGTAATGTTTTAGAGGTAATTAATACCGACGATATAATTAAATGGTTTGTTTCCCAATAAGAAAGCAAAAATTATTTATATAAACAAAATTTTTATTTTTTGTACGAAAAAAAAACAAGAAATAAATTTATAAATTAGAATATAATTTTTTTTTGTCTTTGAAATATTCTTATGTGTAGATCATCAATATTTTGATTATGATGACGGGCCCCAAATTTATCATAATCCGGGTTTGATTGTACCGTTAAAACATTTGTTTCGAACACGTGAACGTGTCAACAGTCAAGGGTGTTAAACGAACGCGGACGAATTTCAAAAAATCGTTTCGCACCGACACGCTAAGAAATTCAAATATTTTTTTTTTCGTCGCCAAGAACCGACATGCCGTTGTGGCGTCGGAAACCGTTACGACGATGGGCCCTCCGCTTTCTACGGGGTCGAGTCGACGCGACGTGTGACTGCGCGGTCCCTTTGCCGCCGCGCACACCGCAGCCCTAGAACGTTTCGGCGGCTGCACCCGATCGTTTGTCCGATGCCGCCGCCCATGGCCGTGGAGAGAGACACAGGGGCCCCGGGGGTATATCTTAATTTTTTCTGCAGTGTTCATTAAATTCTTATCATTAATTGTTTTTTAATTAATTTTTAATGTAGTCCCATTTCTGGACCACCGCACGGTTTGGCTGCGAGCGATCGTCCGGGGACGTCCCTCCCCCTTCGCGAACCCGTCGACACGGCGGTTCGTTGATAAAACGCGATCGCTTACACTGCGCCGCGGCCGCGACGGAACGCCACGCTCTTATCACACGGTTGCCCGGTTATCAGCGAGAACAGAAATGCAAATACAAATAATAGTATCGCCAACGAACGTAACGTTGTCCTCGTAACGGGCAACTAAGATGGTGCGAACACCGATGCGCGCTGTACACTGAATGTGTCTGACGTCCGCTGTTTATCGCTCGTCGAACCCGTAACGAACGGTTTAAAGCTCGGGACGATACGTGTCGCGCACATCCGATTTCCCATCGGTTGGTAGGTTTTCGCGGATTTTCCGTTTCTTCCGCGTTCGTCCAAAGTTCTCCGCACCTGCTGCTGCTGCTGTTGCTGTGACAGAGTTCCACTTCGACTCAAAAGACCGTGAGAACCGACACACATTTATGTTGGTTCGCCGACGTTAATGACGGTATGTTTTTCTGTCCGGCCGCATAAAGGTCGTCAACGTTCAATCCGTGTCGAAGCAACGAACGTCTTTACTACTAGAAACGGCATTCCGCCGCAACCCTAATGTTGTTGTCTCAAGTATTCAAGTATTTGAATTGAGTTACTTTGATTCTTGTTCAAGTACAGGCACCCACCGTTACTTGCCCGAGAACTGTATCGAGAACGATATGTGTTTTTACACAGGTTTCAATATTAAAACATGTTATTCGGTCAAAACCAATATTGTCGATACAGGCATCTGGATGGAATAGTTTAAAAATTGCCATAGTAAAATTTGTGTGATCATGTTAACTCAGAATATTAGAAGCAAATTAGGTTAATTTCAGCTGAATTCTCTACGCTTGTCTGTGATTTTTTCAATTGTATTATCACTGAATCCTATGAATTTGTTTTTAAATTTTCATGCTGTAAGCTTCAGTATATTTTCTATTATTAACAGGTACATTTTTTAACATGTTAACATTTATTTCTTAATGTTATGATTACAGCTAGTGATTAACTTCACTATCATAAATATTTGTTTGTTTTTCATTAAAATAAAAATTGTATTGTCAAATTGTGTTAAGATTATACTGTTGACTCATAATATTACAGTATGAAAATAATCTTGTTCAAGTGCAATTATAATGTTTGAAATAGTAGAAACATTTTAAAACAATCAACTGTTATTAGTAGCTTATCTATTGCATTTATTGTTGAAGTTAATAGTTTCCTTAATCAAAATAATATTATCAATAGTTAATGTTTATCTCAGTCATTAATATTATTTGCTTATTGATTTACCTAAGAAATGCACATTTAATATTATGTAAATAATAGTGCTTCAGATTGCATTGTTTTTATTTTGAATCATCCAAATTGTTCTGATTTATTTTTGTATTATATTTATATATTTTTATATTATATTATTGTAATATATTTTTGTATTATATTTCCTATCAAATATATTTAGGTTATATAGGTAGGTATATGTATAGGTGATTAATTTAAATTGTTTTTTCTTCTAAGTTAAATAATATGTCTATTTCATATGCAGCTACGATTAAATCATTTGAATCATTATTTTAGTGTTAATATATAATAAATTCTGAAAACTTATTTCCCCCCGGCACCCCCTAATCAATGTATGAATTTTTACCAAAGGTTGATTTTAAAAGAATTTTATACATTGAAATCAAACTTCGACAGAAATTCTAAAGTATAAGTATTTTTAGTCAAATTGACAAAAAAATTGTAAGGAATTTTATATATACAATTTTTTTGTAATTTTGAGTACCCTAAATTTTATTAATACATTTTTTTGATTGTTGCATGAATGGTGGTTCCCTTGAAATTAATTTGTGGTACACAGGTTGTAAATTGCTGCTCTAGAATATTAATTATATTTGATATAACTAAAGAAAAATTGACAACCCCTAGGATTTTTATATTATATTATGTGATTAAAAAAGAGAATTATATAATTAAAATTCTATGTTTTTTTATTCAATTTTAAAAAATAAATATATTTTTTTTGCAGATTTCATGCCTTTAATATGGCAAACCCTAACAAACATATTCGTAAATTACGTAAGTACAAATTAATGTATTAAACTAAAAATTTAACTATAAATATTAAGTTTTTAATTAGCAAAGTATTAATATTATTTAAGTCATTATAAATCTAAATATTTTATTTACATATTTTAAATATTAGTGAAAAAAATGTAATCAACATTTTTTTTAAAAATAATATTCAAAATTATTCATTTTTGATTTATCAAGTTTAATTTGGCAGTCACATGAGTATTATAAAACAGGTGTATTATTCTAATTGGGAATTTGTATGCTTAACCTGTTTAATTTAATATGCACATATTAGTATTAATACTAATAAATAACATAAATATGTATTACAAATTTTTTAGGATGATTCATTAAATAAGTTAGTATTTGTAAAATTGTGGATAAAGTTGCCGATTTTCTTTACTGATGCTTTACTGATTTAACTTGCACAACTTCCCATAATGTAGTATTTATAATGAATATATGTTCTTATTTGTTAGCACATAAATATATAGGTATATGTCTTAAAACTTATTAGTTCATTCAATTCAAAATGTTACTAATATATTTTTTAACAGATAATTATTCATGTTTAGTAATAAAAAATGAACTATAATTAATTTTTTGATTTTCTGTTCCAATTTAAAAATAATAACTCTCAAGACTTACTTAATATTTATACCAGTTAATTTATTTTTATTTTTTCTTATAATATTAAATTAAAAATGATTTAATTAATAAAAATTGTATTTACTTTTATATTTAAACAGAAGAATTTACTGCTCATAATGCAAATGTAACTTGTTTGGCACTTGGGCAAAAAAGTGGTTTAGTATTGGCTACAGGTGGTGCTGATAATAAAGTAAACTTGTGGAAAGTTGATAGTGAAACATGTTTTATGGTAATATTTTTATTTTATTTTTGTTAGTATTCATTAAAAGTTGTGAAAAAAATGTAAATAACTTTAAAATATATATGTATGTATTCAAATAGTTTAATACTTACACATTGTTATAGAGCTTATGTGGTCACGTGACACCAATTGAGTGTGTACAATTTGATGCATCAGAATATCTAGTGGCCGCTGGAAGCCAAACAGGAGGTTTAAAAGTATGGGATTTGACTAAAGGAAAAAAAGTTAAGACATTCAGTGGGCATAAATCAGCTGTTACAAAATTGGACTTTTTTCCATTTGCATCATCTTCATACTTTGTTACTGGTTCTAGGGATACTAATGTTAAGGTACAATGTATAAAATATAACTTTAGATATTAATCTGATATTTTACATATGTGACATTTGTATTTAAAAAAAATATTGTTTATTATAACATATCGTACATGAACATCATATTATAATATTATATTAGTTTCAATAGTATCTAGTAGAATTATATTTAATAAAAACTTTTTTCTATGTAAAATATTAATTCATTAAAAAAATGTATTTTTGACATAGTTGTGGGATTATCGATATTCACATTGCATAGGAATGTACAAAGGTCATGATTCTTCAATATCTAGTTTGAAGTACAGTCCCGATGGTCTATGGATTGCTTCTGGTGATGAAAGTGGCAGTGTTAAGGTTAGTGATCTCAAGAATCAACAAGTACAAATACATTTGATGGATAAAAATTACAGAAATATGCATGTATTCACCATATTTTATAATTTCTAAAATATTTAATTTTAATATTTTTTTTTTATTTTTCTGTAAATTAATATTTATTTATTTAAAATTTACAGTGTAATTAATTTATGAAAATAGTTCATTTATGTAGATATGTTATGAATTTTTATTATATATAAAAATATTAATAAAAAAAAAAAAAAAATGTTGAAGTCACAGAAAAAAGAAAAAAGGATAAATTTAATCATAAATTGAATTTTTATCAATATACTTTCTATAACTATTTAAGGATATTTATTTAATGTTCAGTTCAATAATTTCAAAGGTATAAAATAAAATACAAATGCTCCTAATATTTAACTTATACATTTTTGATCATTGGAATTAATTAATTTATCAATACCCTTTTTAGATTCTGAGTGAAAGAAAGTATGGTATTATTATTATGTGTGTTTGTGTACACGATTTCTGACTGAATGAGTTTTCTGATTATTACTAAATAAAATGAAAAATATAGGAAATTAATTCTAGTTTGGTATTTTTTGAGCCATTAGAAGAATCGAGAAAAAAAAATAAAAAACACTTAAAATAACAACTAAAATTCAAACCTACTATCGCATTTTATTTTGATACCGATTACTAGTATTTATTTATTTTGAGCCTGTGTCTACGATTTCGACCAAAATAATTGCTCTCATCTTCACAATCATAAGAGATATTTGATAGAAAATGTTGTCTAGTTGATATTTTAATGAGAGTTGTTTCATTGATTTCCTAACAGTTAACATATTAATTACATAAAATTAATGTAAAGTTATAAAAATGCGAAAAAATTTACGAAATACCGGTTTTCAACAAAATCAAATTTTTTTTTTATTTATTTAAAAAAAATAATAATTGTGGATACATAATATTTTCAATAAATGTTTATATCGCCATTTGAAATAGATGATGTGCTTTTTAAAAGATTTTTTTGAGCTTTTTATAGAAAATTGGAATGTATATATTTTCATAGCTTTTTATTAAAAATATAGATAAAATAATTTTGAATTGATAAAATTGATTGAAAACTTAATGTTAAGTTCCTCATACATATTTTTTACTAACAAAAAAAAAAAAGAAAACGAAGAGCGTCTAATTATTACATTTTGATAAAACAATAAAAATCCACTTTATATACCATTATAGTCTTCATACAATTTTAAATATTTATACTTTGGCATTGAAAATTGGATTCAGTATTTTTTATATCATTGTCTTTGAAGCAAAAAAAAAAAAAAAAAAAAATCAATGAAAAATCGCAAAAATAATTAGTCTTATAAAATTAAATTAAAGTCGGATATTACAACGAATTTTTATAAAGGATATTAGTTGTTGAGTTGCTAACCATGAATATTAATTTTTTCGAGAAATTTAAAAGATTAAAAGCTCAATCTACCTTTTACCTAATTAAGAAATTTCTACTATTTCTAAAATACTGAAATATAATATGATCCAACCAATCTCTCATTCGCTCTGAATCGTTTTTTTTTCGAGTACAATGGTATTTTAGTTACAAGTTCAAAAGACTCATAATAATGCAATGTTATTATTATGTTTTTTAGCTATTCTTGTATCTCATCCAATCTAAGAGTATGTAAATGTAGTAAAATAGTAGTTTTATAGTATATAAATGTATATAGAACTGAAGTTAATTAAACAAAAATATATAGTCTCAAAATATATTAAATAAATATTCATAAATAACATTGAATTAAAAATTTATATCCTTTATATTTATCAGGGATTATTCTAAGGATTTTTATCAACTACGCATTTTGTTTAAATAAGCCTATCAAAATAGAACTATGATCTCAAAATATACTGTCAAATTATACTTAAAAATGATAAAATCTGTAGCTTCTATGCGAAGTAATTTAAAATGTAATGTATTTAAAAGATTTAAAACAATTTACATTTGTGTTCAAAGTATTATTTTTAATATTTTTTAATAAATTTCTTTTTTACTTTGTTTATAAATTATAATGTAATGTATAAAATAACACTAAACAATATTCTAACAATTCCTATCTTGGATCACATCCCTCCAATCTTCTATATTCATTATCTTCAAGTCTTGATTTATCTCGTTAATCCAACACATCCTTGGTCTACTGATATAATTGTTAATACATATCAATTAAGCCTAAGATCTTTTTCTTGTTGAATAATTCTTATATATTCTTTTTCATTATATACTATTGTTATAAATTATTTTACATTTGTTGCTGTATATTTTATAGATATGGGATTTGCGAGTTGGACGCATGATACATGCTTTTGATAAACTACATAAAGGAACAGTAACTTCAATACAGTTTCATCCATTAGTATTTTTATTAGCTAGTAGTGGTACAGACAATAAAATTGTTATATTAGACTTGGAAAGATTTAGTATTATTTCACAAATAGATACAGAAAATTCTACAATTAGGTAATTGACAAAAGTATTATTTTATTTTGTATTTGTTGATAAGCCTTTATACATTTACTAATGATGTTTTATTTGCCTGAAAAATTCCAGGAATTTATTGATTTGACACATTTATTGATTTGTATATATTTAATGTATTTTAGGTGTTTGCAATTTAGTGATAAAGGAGATGTTCTATATGGTGGAGGTACTGATTATCTTGGTGTGTATGGTGTAGAGCCAACAAGAGTATGTGATTCTGTAGTTGTGAAATGGGGAAACGTAAACGAGTTAGTTGTAAAAGATAATAGAATTGTAAGTTAATAAAGATATTGAAACGATAAAGGTATCATATATTTACCTACCTATTTATGTATCATGATATAAATATTTAAACTAATTAAATTTTTATTTTAATGTATTAATTGGATTCCTGATTTTCCTTTAAAATTTTATAATATCTTTTAAATTTTAGGTTGGAGCTTCACATTTATCAACAGATGTTTCAACATGGTTAATTAATTTACCTGAAGAATATCCATTTAAAAATCAATTTTCACCACCTGATAAGTCGGTAAAGAATAATACTAATACAATGTTTACACGAGATACTGGTGTTCGGAAAAGTTTTAATAAACAAAAAACTCGAGAAATGATTAAACCAAAGTATGTGAATATATTTATAATTAATTAATTTTTTAAATTGTATATTATTTACTGTTTAGTATTACATAAAATACTAATTTGTGTTATAAATATTTGAAATTAATGCATAATATAATAAGATAATAATTATATATTACATATATTTAAAAAAAATATTTCATAGTATTGGTTATTTGAAGAATATATGTTATGATACTAAATATTAATGAAAAAAATATTAATTACTTAACCATAGCATCAGATATCTTAAAATATGCTAATGTATTTATTATTTTTAGAACTAATATGAAATTGATTGATGAAAGTGAAACTGACATCGAAGAAGATACCAATACTGTAATTAATAATGTTCATGATTACCATTCAGTGTTTAAACCAAATAGAACATGTAAGTCTTCTAATTTGCTTTAGTAATTATTATATATAACAAATTGATAATTACCTAATATGTTATTATTTAGCATTTAAACCAAGTAGATTATGTAAGTATATCTATTTATTTAAGTGTTACTAGTTAAATAAAATAATAAGTATTGTATTAAAATTTGAATAAATATTTAATATTTTTATTTTTAATTAGGTATATTAAATTATATATTAAAACCGAAATGGTTAAATATTAAATTTAATTAATTAATTAATTTAATATAAATATTAAATACAAATTAAAATAATATTATTTAATAATTTTTTAAGAACTAAAACTTAATGATAATCAACAATTTTCAATATAATTACTGGTAAACCCATTTCAATATGTAATTTTATGTGTATGTATAATATATGCTTCATACTGTATTGTATTGTATATTATAATATTTGATTTTAAAAAGTGAATGGATCAATTTTTTATATTAAAATACAAGATATTTCCGGTTTTCACTGGAATAATTTAAACTATAACTGATATTAGGTTCATAACTCCAAAACAGATGTATTCACAAATGTATTATTCTTATAAAATGTTCATATAAGTAAAAAAAAAATTAAAAAATGTAGTTCGGTTATCTACCAAATAAATTATTTTATGAGATGTGTCATTTTAATTTTCAAATTAATCATTCAAATCAATCAAATTTAATCATATCAAACTAAAACGTTGTACCTACATAATATAGAATTTTATTTGTGGATAAATCTGTTCTGATGCTTTGTGTGTCTTATATTTATATGTTTTTTATCTTTCAACTTATTGGGCTTGTTTGTGATTTTATATTTTTTATATTTTCATAGTAAAACATGTGTCTTTAGATACTTCTTTGAAAGTTATGGCTTTTAATATGAATACAATTGTTTTATTTATGCCTTGATATTTTACACTTAACATGTTAAAAAAATTATTAAAAAAAAAGTTTTATTAATTAATTGTTTGAGCTATTAATTGAATGTTTTTATTTTAAAAATCATTTTTTTGTTTTTTTAATAAAAAATTACTTTTATTAAAAATTAACTTTAAATAATTTTTCAGTGAATAGGAGTCCACCTCCATTTTCACCATTATCTGAAGATGGTAATTTTTTTTATATTTAATTTTTCATTCAGTGTACAATACTTATTTATCATAATTATTTTTTCAGATAACCCAAATACTATATTTGTTTCTGAAGGTATGTAAAAAATATGTAACATAATTATTACATATCTGATTTTTTTTTTTTTTTTAAGTTAACAAAAGTCAATCAAATAAATATATAGCAGTAGAAGATTCTGCTAAATTGGAAGATAGAAAACATAGTTTTGGTAAATTAATCATATATATTTGTAATTTTGGTATAAACATTATTAAATATGTCTTATATTTGTGTTGATTAGATATGTCTCAAGGTTTGATGCATAGTAGTTATTCGGAAGCAGATACTTCATCGATGGAGTCCACACCATGTGATTCATTCCATATACCCCAGTATGAAATGAATGATTACCAAAGCCCTTTACCAACAAGTCCTTTCCCATCACCCCCTGATGTTGAACATTCTGAAAAAAGACACAATCCTTATTTATCTTCATCGGTTTCAATGCGAAGTGTATCTTCAAATGTAGCTAATGAACATCTATCTAAACGCCCATCTTCATTACCAGTATTTAGACAAAGTGGTTTGTATTTTAGTAATATTAATTTTATCAAATAATTAACTTGTAATGTTATACTTGTGATGCAATAAATATCGCACGAAAACTTCAATACATGTGTGATTATTTTTTAGATAATTTTGCTTATGGAACAAAGTACACATCTCCTCAATCTCAAAGAAAAGTAATTCCTAATGAAATGTCTTCAATACCTCATCACAAACGACTGTTGGCTGATGATAGTTTAATTACACCAGAGTATAAAAAGACTGATCCTATGGGCACCATTACACTACCTTTGGATGATTTTGAAGACATGAAAAATGTTTGTACAAATGTGCGAATTTTTTTTTTAATGAACAATTATAAGTAGTCTATTTACTTTAAATTAATTAATTTGATTATGGAATATTCTATATCATTGATTTTTACACTTGTGAACAAGAATTTATTAAAAACATTCTTTGATATTATTTCAGCTAATAACTTATAATTTTATTCTACGTAATAAAATTAAATATATACATAAATATAACTTTATATTTGTTATAGAGTTTAAATCATACAATGTCTGATGAAGAAGATATTGTGGAATTTCTTCTAAAAAATCATAAGTCCACTATGGGAGTGCTCAAAGAAAGACAACGCAATCTTAATATTATTCAAACGCTGTGGACTAATAAAAACTTTAAGGTATATAAATTGTTCATATTTTTAATTAACACTACTCTTTATATGTATAATTTCTGATGAAATTGATGTTTTTAGTCTGCAGTCAATTCTGCTGTTTCCATGAATGATGAAGCCATCATATCGGATCTTATTTCTATTATAACACAGAGCCCGTAATTATAATTTTTTTTCCTCAGAATTTTGTTCATTTTCGTCATTTCATTTTAAAATGTATTTAATTTACATTTTTAGAAAACTTTGGTGTCTTGATGTTTGTAGTATGTTACTTCCTGCAATATCTGATTTGATTCAAAGTGGCAATGAAGCGTAAGTTGTTCAATTAATTGGTTATCTATAAATTTTATTTTTATCCTAGTTTATCAATCATTTAGAAGATGCCAGAGTACTTGTTACTACTATTCTTCTGAGTGATACCTATTTTGAATAATAACAATAATATAAATTACATATTTTAATATTATATGACTATTTTACCTTCGGAATACTTGTTTAACCTATTAATCCTTTGTACCGAATTGTATTGACTGTTAATGTATGTATTATGAAATTAATCTTTTACATCTCTGACGAAGTATTCTTTATACTTTTCATACAATTCATAATAGTTTATAATTAATTATTATAAAATGTATTTTTATAAAAGTACCATTATGGGACAACAAAATCAAAAACCTATTACATTTTAATACAGCAAACTAAGTTTTAAATATTGATATTCAATACTAGTATACTATAATTCTAAGAAATGTATTTAAATACCATACGCGATACGCTTAATATTAGACACAAACATTTATACCCATAATACTTAATTAAATCATGTAAATAGCATTTTACTTAATATTATACTCTATCATTAATTTTTATTTATAATTAAGATTACCCCATATTGTACGTTAATGTGTTCTACGCGATTTATTTTTATATACTAAATATGTTATTTATATTAAAACTAATGTAACAAATATCTGAATATTTACACTGTGCCATTTAGACAATACGAATTTCGGGCAATTCGCTTTAAATAAAAGTTGTTCCTCTCTGTTTATTTTCATTTATTGGTTTGAGTCAAAAAATAAATATTTTTAACCATTACCTTTTTCTTACCTAATCTCATTTATATTTTTTAGGTTTATAAATGTTAGCTTCAAAGCTATCAGAGATATATTGCAGTACTTCATGCCTGTTATTAAAAATAATATACAAAGGCCGCCATCTGCAATAGGTGTCGATATCATGCAAGAAGAAAGGTATAGTTGCTTTTTAAAAATAAACTGAAGAGCCGATCTATAATTATTATAATTTAATTATTTTGCTTTTATTGAATACCAGTGTCTATTTAATACTTTTATTACTGTTACTAAACAGTCGATGACTACTCTGTTTCGGGATTTTTTACGACTTCGTAAATATCAATCATCTTATCTATTGATTGATATATGTTTTTCATTATAGGTACAACAAATGTCGAAAGTGTCACAATACGCTTATGAACATCCGGTCATTTGTGTTAAAGCGACAAACGGTCCAAGGGAACTTAGGAAACATGTTCAGGCAGTTGCATATGCTATTGCAAACGATCGACATTTAACAAAAAAAAAAAACATGTTGATATTATTTCGTTTCTCTATTGAAAGAGACGACGAAAAATGTTTAAATGTCATAGCTAAATTGAAGATTTTTGTTATTGTTTTTCGATAAGTTATTATTAATCAATTATTTTTACTATTTTTTATTTATTTATTATTATTTTTTTTTTGTCAAAGTCTTGTCTAACTGTTGTTAATTCGTAATTTTTTTTTTCTACAAATTTTCTTTAACTTTATGTCTTGCAGATATTAACTTATAACCCTTTTTTTACGATTCAAGTTCATTTAACTGCGTATCACTAACACGCTATTGCATAATCCAGTCCTTATTTTAGAAATCCAATCGTTATTTCTATAATATTGTAGAAATGCATTCCCAATTGGCATTTAGTAATAAGATTATTTTTGGCCTTTGATCACTTATTTTCTTTTTGCATCTCGTCGGTAATAATACTATATGATTCCACGCATACAGTGTGAGTGTGCCAGTGTGCATGTATGTAAAATATTCCGTTGAATATAAATTTAATTTTATTTTTTTACTGTTATTCGTTTTATTCGTATTTGTTAAATTTGTTTTTTTTCGATTATGAATTATTTTACTGTTCAAGCGGAGCGGAACAAACACGAATATTAAATTAATAAAACGCGTCTTGCGAGCGATATATATAGCTGTTGCACAGAACATATACGCTTAAAGTTTCACATAAAAACATAAAATAAAAATATTAAATATATTTTTATTTTAATGAGTGCTGTTAATTCGTTTGGCCATATTATTTTACCTTCGTATTATTCATATGCATTTTCACGGGTTTTTTTTTTCTTATGTATCTTGAGTTTCACGTTTTCAATATCACGGAATAGCGGTTTTTAAATGAATTGATCCTAGAGAGCACACGTACATTGGTGATATTCAGTGTTTTCTATCGGTCGAATCCGTCCACCGTACATCGATATAACACCATTGTTTTGTACGGTTACCGATGTTTTGCGTGTTCATGTCGTACAAAAATAATAAAGGAAATCACAATTTTTTACAATGCTTAAGAAAAATAAGAATTCCTGTTTCGTTCGTTTTTCGGTTTACTAAATACAATTGTGAACATTTATATTTGTTTCACAATAATTACAGTGTGGACTACTAAAGAAATGTATTGTACAAATACAAAACTGATGAGCTTATTAATATTATGTTAAACTTTTGATTTTTCGCCGTACGACTCGTAGTAGATACGATACTGTACAAAAAAAATATATTTGTGATTGCAATACACTAACCATATTTTTTACTTATTTATTTATTTTTTCCTTCCTCTGCAGCGGTTCCTGGTCGTATTTTGTTCATGTCCAACGGAGAGCGAGGGCAATTGCTACGAGTAGAACGATTTTCTTTTTGCGCGGCAATTGGAAATGTACGCCGTACAGTGCCGTGCGTTTCAATCCATACTCGCCGCACTTTTTTTTCTACGCACTTGAAACACTCATTTATTTTTTTTAAAAATCCTGAACCACGCGTAACGCAAAACTATTAGACTATTAATTATAATATTTTGTTTATAAATGCACGATGGACTCGAAAAAATCGGGGGAAGAACACGTCCCCTCCTTGACCCTCCCCCTATATGGTCGCCCTTGGGAGAGAGAAGGACGCGGATTATTTAACAAATGTAAGATCGCCGTCGTTGGACGTTGGATTGTCGTCCGCGTAATCGAGTGCATGGTAGCACGGAGATGACTCCGACACGCACGGTCAATGTTTATTTCAGAAGGTGATCTGGGGTATTGCCTCCAGAAAATGTTTTTCATATTGTTATTGACTTAACTATAACCATTCGTTAAGTCAATAACAATATGAAAATGTACACAAATGCATGTTATAAATTTGGTTTTATTATATTTTTATTCTTAATATCTGTTTAATATCCAAGCATATATAGTTACAATTAAATAAGAACACAAATAATGGGTTAAAGATAAGTATTAAACATTTACCAAAATTAAATAATACAAATTAAAATTATCATATTCTTTATTAAAACTATGATAAATATATTCTTAAAATATAATTGTGGCAAATAAATAAAGATTATTTTACATCATGTTTAACCTTCAATTACTTTTTTTAAAAAAAAAATTATGCACCCATACTGCCTAATTGTTCTCCTCTGAACCTGATGCACAAGAATATTATAATCGTATTTATTGTGAACAACAAATTCACTGGTATCAGGGAGCTTTACAATAACAAATAAATTTCTATAAATATTTGTTTACTATTAATTCATAATATATAATAAAAAATTAACATTAATTACATAAAATACAACTATTTTACATGCATAAAATGTAACATTATAGCTAAAATTATTTTAATTGTCTGTATCAATTGAGTTAAATAGAATATTTAGTCTTTCATAGAATACAAATTATAATTTTTTACTTCAGTACATAATAAACCACACACCGAAAGTAACTAATAATAATGGATGATGATAGCAGAATCATCAAGTTATTAATAATTCATATTATAAGCAAAATATAAACTACCTTCAAACCGGTTTACTTGGGACACATAGGTAACTTGATTACAAATTATATGGTTTTATGCTCTTAGTACGATCAAATACCCAGCAATATATATTGGCGACTTTA